AACCCTTAGCCCTGAACCCGAAACCCTAAACCCTAAACCCTAAACCCTAAACCCAAACCCTAAACCCTAAACCCCAAACCCCAAACCCTGAAACCCCGAACTGGCCTTCCGAAAGCTCCGGCTGCAGGTCTGGATGCAGGTCCGACCGGCTCAGCAAGGCCTCCCTGCCGGCAGCCAAAGTTAGGTAGTATTATTAGAGGTACCCCTTAAAGGGTACCCCTTCTGAACCCTACTTTTGGCTCTCTTAAAAGGGACCTTACTGAGAGGGTCTATGTAGTCAAAGGGTCCCCCTAATCCTAGCTCCCAAAAGCGTCCAAGTCGGTCTTTGCGTCTTTGTCTTGTGTTTGGTGTGCCACCTTAAACCCTCAACCCCTAAACCCTAAACCCCTAAACCCTAAACCCCCAAACCCCAAACCCCTAAACCCTAAACCCTAAACCCCCTAAACCCTAAACCCTTAACTCCAAACCTTGACCTGAAAGTTCCTGTTTGCTCAAACTCCCTTCGGCCTTCGGCTTTTGGCCTTCGTTCCGGGATCTCGGTGTCAGGGCTTCTAGGTTCCCAGAGAACCCAATACCCCTTAATTAAGGAATATACCTTAAATCATAATACTAAGGCCTCTAGGATCTAAGCTATATTCCTTCATTAAGGGGTATTGGGTTCTGTGGGTTTTTCTGAAAGGTTCATGGCTTTGTTTCCATATGTGCTGATTTGGCTTTCTGTCTTTCTAAGGTTGAAACCATGGGCCCTTAGTATGGGCCCTTATCCCTGGGATCCTTATACACCTACTATAGCCTAATGGTCCATATTAGGGACCCATAGTTCTAGGGATTAGGGCTTAAGGGTTTAGGGCTACGAAGCCCTTCAAGACCCTAACAAGACACAATTTCAAGCATTTGGTCACCTTCACACCCCTACATGACAGAGCCTACATAGGACCCTTACCGAAACCCTATTTGCAACTCATGCCACCGTGCAGCAACCCTGCTGGAAATATCATAGAAACCCGCTGGAACCCTTGTACAACTCTAGAAACCCGTCTACTACTAGACCCTAAACCCTAAACCCTAAACCCTAAACCCTAAACCGTATACGAACCGTGATAGAAACCAACGACTTTCGTCAGTCTTGTCGCCTGTAGCTCCGGCTGCTGACCGCTGCATATGGGCTGGAGTCCTCTGCCTGTCGCAAGGGACCCACCAAAGTTTAGGGTTTAGGGTTTAGGGTTTAGGGTTTAGGGTCTCGTATAAGTCATAAGGGTAAGGATTATACATTTAGGGTTCAGGGTTTTTAGGTTAGGGAGGGACCCACAAAAGGGTCTCGTGTAATTTAAGTTATAAGGGTAAGGATAAAACGTTTAGGGTTCAGGGTTTAGGTTTTGGTTCTATAGGGCTCGGAAGGGTCTCTTGAAGAGGTTCTATAGGGGCTTCATGCTTCTATCGAGGGGCAGGGATGGCGGGGGTTTAGGATTTGTGGATATCGGTATACGGTATAGGGCTTCGAGTATCGGATAAGGCAGAGGGTTCCGACGGGCCCGAAATTCACGACTGTCACCATGTTTGCCACCCTCATCACTAGCAAAAGTTCTAGTGTCATCGCCGTCACCATCAGAAACATCGCCAACTTCGCGCTCATCACCATCGCAGCAAGCATTATAGTCATCATCATTGAATGTTCACATTTCCGAATCTTTAACTGAATATTCGTCGCGCTCGCGAAAGCCGGGGGACCGAAATGTGTCTTAAACTTATAAACCCTAACAGTCTAAACCATGTACTTAGTCTTGCGATCCTTATAGCCCTGCTAGAGGGTTGCCGACTTCGCCCGCGAACAAGCCCCAAACACCTCCATCAAATCCTTCAGAACCCCTCTGGCTTCTGAAACCCCTCCCTTCCAGCAATGGAGTCCTCCGATGAGCTCGAAGACTCTTGTGAGCTGAATTTAGCTGCCAGGGACTGGATGCTCTCCTGTGTGTGTGTGTGATGAAGGGGTGGCTGCCTGTAAGGGTGGGATTTGCTTTACTACCTTAGGGCTTTAAGGGTATTACTTTAACGCTTAAGGCTTTAGGGTTGAGACCTTAGGTTTTACGGATCTTTACGGTGCATGAACCCTTTGAGCTTTCTGTTGTTGGTGTGTGTGTGTGTGTGTCTCTGTGTGTGTGTGTGCGTGTTTGTGTCATGGCACCCAAGAGCTATTGAAGGTCTGCTGTGATGGCCGAGTCTTCACCCCTCTCTCTCTCTGCCTCTCTCTTCCTCTTTCTGTCTATGTGTGTTTAAGTCTTGAAGTATGAATGTATGAATGAACGCATGTATTCGTGCATGTGTATGTGCCTGTATGTATATGCATGTAGAGGGTAGAAGCAATACTGACCCTAACCATGAACGTTATAATTACAGCAAACAGTAGCAAGAACAATAATGGCAATGATACTGCCCTTCCGCAATAGTAGCTATGACAATAAAGCAGCCGTAAGAATCTGAATTCGTACATAGTGCCAGTGTCTACGCAAACAGGAACATTGTATGCAGACACACTCACACACACACACACGCGCGTCTGTGCTTTGATACGCACATGTTGCACATGCACCTTCCATACCTGTGTATACACACGCGCATACATACATACGTACGTACGTACATACATACACATCGATAATATTGGAAGTGCACTCCATGCACCGTACTGCACAATGTCGTGCTTGTATTACACAGATAGATTGACAGACAGATTGCTGTGTAAAGAGCCAGATGGAGATGTGGATAGACAGATTGGTATACGTAGGTATATACATAGTTAGGTAAGCCGATGGGTAGATATATTCACAGGTTAGCGGGTCACTAGATAAGCTTCATGACAAAGCGGCTATATCTCCTAAGACCGTTGAATTAGCAAGCCAGTTCATCTGCAATAGTGAGCAACGAAACTGACTAGTCAGGTACTTAGGTATTTAGGTGGTAGCCAGCGGCAGACGACCTGGCCAGATACTTGGTCAATACCCCCCCTCCCCCTCCCTCCCCCAAAGAGACATCAAACCCCGTCAGACACCAAACCCATCCCCAGGCCCAAACCCACCAACAACAAGTGATGATGTTCAGGGCTTCGGGTTTAGGGTTTAGGGGTTTAGGGTCTAGAGTTTAGGGTTTAGGGCCCTGTGATGATCCCAAACTGCACCCGCAGGCGGAGGCTTGAACTTGAAGCCCAAACCTTAGACCTACTCCAGACTCTCAGGCTCAAGCACGAACATGCTGAAACGATAGTCCCTTTGTGGACCCCAGACGGAACAACTATATGATCATAACTCCGATAGAAGTCTCATTTAAAAGCCTTCAAGTGACCCATGTAGAACCTTTAAGCCAAAGGGCCCCTTACAGAATCGTTGGGACAACCGTTATTCTAGTGACACCTCTAGAACCGCTATAGAACACTTACAGGGACCCTTTGAGAACACTTGAAACCGATAGTCTCCATTGTAGTTCCTTTTTGGGGTTCCCTTATAGGATCCTGAATATAAAATTGGTTTAACCAAAAAAAGGAACTACAATAGGAGACTATAGGAACACTCTAAAGCCCGAGAGCCGTGTCCTCGGTGGAGGCAACTCGGCTTGTCAGCGCTCCAATAGCCTTGTCCTGATTGGAAACTTTCTTCGTTCGCTTTGTAAGGCTTATGGGGCTTATATAGCTTAAACCCTAAACCGTTAGGCTTTGCGTGGTGGGGCAAATGTGATAATCCTAACATTTCTTGGCCCTTGAATGTTTGGAGGTTTGGGGTGTGCGGCCTGGGTCTTCCGACTGACTCTTTCGGAAAAGTACTGAAGGGCCTCAGCACTAAAAAAAATGATTTGTCTAACATCCCTGCGCCCCTATGAGGTGGTGCCTCTGGTGCTCTCGATTGGTTGGAGTAGGCAAGAACACCCGCCCTCTTTTCAAGCTGAAGGCCTATGCCTGTGTGTGTTGAGTTTGCTCCAATCTTCTGCCAAGCAGAAGCTGCAGTCTTGACCGTCTCGTCGCATGTTGTGCGAGCTGTAATCATATGATTACAGATCGATTCCGGCCACCCGCGGCTGAGCAGCTAGAAAACAACGGAGGCCAGGTAGCAGTGTGTCGTGCAGGGGCATGGTTGCATCTATTTGTTGCTGACATCACCGCCCATATTGCAATTGTTGCTACGCTAGAAGTGGTGGTGTTCTCTCTAGTGCGGTTCTGCGCTGTGTAGAAGCACCGGCCGTCACGCAGATCATTCCGTTAACACCCGCCGCCGCAAAAACAAAGACCACGGAGATCACGAATTCTGTGTACCCGGTACTGTTGCCATGTTGAGATCGAAGTTGCCAGACATGTCGAAAACTTGCGGTTCCCACGAGAAACGTGACACCAACAGGTCCAGTCCCCGTGACCATTGGCATTGTTACGTCACGGTGATCATTCCGACTGTCACGAGAATCGAGCCCGATCACTGTGACTGTTGTCGCAGACAGCCCGGAGCCGGGGGGTTCGCAGTCCGGGACTCAGGATCATAGATACATTGAGCGGGTGGCCGCTGAGCGAATGAGTCCAATGTCACTTGGCGCAGACAAGTCCACCCGAACTTTAAACCTCAATCCGAAACCCAAAGAACCCTAAACCCTACAAGTGAAAGCGTATGCAAATGCCAACCACGAGGGCAAGATTCGAAAGCTTCCGCCGCTTGCTTGCGATGTCCAACCTCGGCCTCAGAAAGAGGCTGACGAAGTTTCCGGGGTTTAAGCAGACATCTTCGGCTTAGGGCTTGTCGAGTTTAGAGTCTCGAAGTTTAGGGTTTAGGGTTTAGGGTTTAGGGTTTAGGGAGAAGAGTGATGCAGACCGTGCTGCAAACTTGTGGCAATGAGCCAAAATACTGCTAGTCGCATCTGGGTTGTCCATTTTCCATGACGGCTTGTCATCAGGGGTCTGCGTAATAATACCCTTAACCCCAAACCCGAAACCGATAATAATGAGGCCGGGGGCGATAGATCGATTTCCAACACGACTGCCTGAGCTTGGAACCCGGAACCCTAAGCCCGGGGCTCAGGGTTACTTGGACCTTATAGGGATCATACTAAGCTACGGTGAAGAGTTTAGGGTTTCAGTTTAAGGCTACGTTGTTTCTGAACTTCTTCGTTCCGCGCCTACTGCACTAAATGTGTGACCTGTCTTCGTTCTGGCCTGCTGCGTTACATAGTATAGGCAGAAAACAACATTCCCTTTCCTGTCTCTATATAACCGCAACTTCATACATCCCTAAAGCCCCATTCGAAACATTCCTAAACCCTGAACCGTTACCCAGCCCCAGAATTCGTCGAGTTCCCCATACGACTTTCCCTAAACAACCCGCAGCCTCGACTTTCCTCTCCAAGCCATCCGTAGTCTTCCGAAAGACCTCTCAGCTTTCGGGCTTTCTGCTGCTTTACCCTTTTTAGGGTTTAGGGTCTAGGGGTTTAGGGCCTAATGTTTATTTAGGGTTTAGGGCTTACAGGGTTTGTAGGGTTTCGTTTTAGGGGCTGGTTGGCTTTGAGTCCAGCTGCTGAAATTCAGACCGTCGGGCTCAGAACTGCAGAATTGAAAATCGACACGACGAACAAACAGGTGCAGGTTAAGGTTCTAGGGTCTCTCTATCTCTCTCTCTCTATATATATATACACATACATACCCACATACATACATACATACATACATACATACATACATACATACATACATATATATATATATAGGGTCCAGGGTTAGGCTTCCAAAACAAAACCAAGAGGGGCTGAGTGGCTCAAGGATCCGATAACAAGATCCAACTGTGGTCCCATAAATCATATACACTGTATTATGTAAGTTATACTGGAAATCTATAAACATATACACTGTGTTATATAAACAAAGTTACAAACATATACACCCAACCATACTCTAGCTTCTGATACCCCTATACCCTCAACCCTAAGCCCAAAACCCTAAACCCTATACCTCAAACCCTAAACCTTAAACCCTAAACCCTAAACCTCAAACCCTAAACCCTAAACCCTATATACTGCCTGTCTGACAAGCTGTCGGCTCGGGGGCTGCGGGCACTTCACGGGTTCGGGGGCCCGAGAACCCGATCCCGCGCAGACGCGTTTTGCAAGCCTTGCAGACCCCAAAGGGTCCAAGTTCTGGTATAGTATATACTGTTGGGGCCCAAACACCTACTAAGCACCTACTATAATGGTACTTGGACCCTTTGGGGACCCTTATAGAGCCGTCGTAGAACCCTTGATAACACCTATAGACCCTAAACCCATAGGCCCCAAACCCCTAATCCGTTGTAGAACCCTTTATAGAACCTAAACCTTAAATCCCTAAACCGTTGTAGAACCCTTCATAGAGCCTTTACCGGAAAGAACCCCTAAACCCTAAACCTCTAAACCCTAAACCCTAAAACCCTAAACCCTAAAACCCTAAACCCTAAAACCCTAAACCCTAAACCCTTCACGGAGCCTTAAATGGAAGCTCTAGGCTTCGCCTGGAACTTGTCTTGCACGAACGTTTCCAACATCGCCGGAAGGTCGGTAAAGACCACCTGCCTCACAAGTCTGTGACACTTAGGGGGTATAGTTTAGGGTTTAGGGTTGAGGGTATATATGGGGTATAGTTTAGGGTTTAGGGTTGAGGGTATACATGGGGTATAGTTTAGGGTTTAGGGCTTCGGCTGCAGATTTTATTCTGGGGTGTTCAGGGGTTATGATGTAGGGGGAGGGCTCGGGGCCGAGTGTTCACGATTCAGGGGTATGTCGGGGCCTTGATAATTACAACAGGGTTTTGGTGTCTATTATACTACACTTATAATAAGGGACCACCCAAAATAGTATAGGTAACCATTGAGGCTTCTATATTAGGTTTGGGGGTCTGCCTACACTGTCGCACTTGAGAAAGTTGTCACGGCAGGGCAAATGACACGAACAGATAGTCAAGCCAAAATAGCACAAGATACTCAGGAGAACGCAAGATCGCAGCAGCGATAACCACAAACAGAACAACGACGGCGACAGCGATGACAATCAGGTCAACAAGTACAGTTGTAACGGTTCACGGCATGCCGGCGACAACTACTACAAGACTCTCGGGGTATCAGGATGTGCTCAGGAATTCACGCTGGCCGGTCGAAGATTCAAGGCCCGGGATGCGGAGTAAGGCTCGACCAAGCGTTTCCGTGCGCACGCTTCTGAGTTCAGACGTTTAGCATAGGATGCATAATTATACTGTTAACGTTTGGCTGGCCAGTTCAGGGATCGTGCTTTCGTGGGCAGAGCCAGCAATACAAACTCTTCGCCAAAGTGGGCGCAGCAAAGCACAAGGCGATCATAGGTGAATCTTATTCCGGACACGAGATGCTCGATCCCGCACATGCCCAAACCCTGCGACCCCATATGCCAACATCCTGACACCCCGAGCTTTGATCAAGAACCCTTAATTAATCCTAACCCCTAAAACCTCACAGACGTAAATGCTTGAACCCTAAGCCCTAGACCCTATACCCTCATAGATCCCTTACAGGAACCCTTATAGCTCCTTGGAACACTCCTTTGAAGGAACCCTACATCCCTGAACCCTAAACCCTACACCGCAAACCCTAAACCCCTAAAACTTCCTGAAACCCTAAACCCTACTGAACCCCTGAAGACATAGAACCCTCATAGGAACCCTTATAGCTCCTTTAAGCACTCCTTTAAAGCGATACGTAGCCTTGAGCCCGAGCCTGAATAGGAGAGACAAAGCTCGAGTGCTCAGCTCGTCGTTCATTCGGTTCTCAAGCTGGTCCTGGTGATGCTGACCTTTGACCTGAGGCTTTAGGGTTTTGTTTGGGTGTTGAGGATTTTTAGGGTTTAGGGTTTAGGGTTTAGAGTTTAGGGGTTCAGGGTTTAGGGTTTAGGGCTTTGGGTTTAGGCTTTAGGGCTTAGGTCTTAGGGGTCAAGGGTTTAGGGCTAAGGGTTTAGGGCTCAGGGAACTAGGTGGGAGTAGCTTTGGTTCTCATGATTAGCACAAGGTGGGGGACATGCACAACTTCTTCGTGTTGACTTTTTGGAAGATGCGTGGGTCGGTGGGTGGGTGGGTGGGT